TGGGGGTGGGGAGCTTACAATTAACACAAGGCACTGAGCCTGGTCATTTAACATTGTTTCAGTAAGGGCGAGTTGACAGAGTGGGAAAAGATAAATAGAAAAAGCAAAATGCCAAATTCAGGTAAGAACATTCTCAAAAGTCAGTTAAATTATTTTAAAAGAAGACGAATGAGTTTGCCTTTGCAGCATGTTCTCAATGAGACTGACTTGAAGTACAAAAAGAAAAATTAAATAAAAGACAAAAACGAACACAAACTCTCCATGCATTCCATGACACTCGAAAATTATAGCAATGTCTGCCTCACTTTCAAGGCTACTTGATTTGCTCCTTCCAAAGGGGGAACCCCAAATTAAGATGGGAATATCCACAGCAATGTCACGTGGGTAGGTAGATGAAAGCACTTTTCTGGAATTTTCTCTCATCAGGCCATGTATGTAACACAAATAAACATGTTCGGGCAGTTTTCAGTGTTGGAAGAGTGTGCTGATGATTAAAACAGAACCTCTGAGTCAGGAGGGAAAAACACCATAAAAAAAAATCACCGAATACAAACATACATAACCTCTTGCAACTTTACAAGTTAGCCTGTTTTTTAGTAGCTGCAGATTTGTGCATGTAGTTAATTGTTAGTATTGGCATACCTTACGAGAATCTCAGCTTCCTGAAGATGACTACAGTGTAGGGTGAAGGAGAAAATATGACACATTCAGTGGAATATGTGTCTACAGCAAAGTTATGAGGAGGCTGTTTGCTATAGAGGTAAATGCCTGAGCCCTGGAACCAAACCTCTAGTCTGGCTCTGCTCCTTCTAATTTATGTACAGATTATGGAAGCACTTAGTAAAAATGGCTAACAGTTCAGCTGGTGTGGCTTGGTGGTTGAGCCTTGACCCGTGAACCAGGTGAACACCAGTTCGATTCCGGGTCAGGGCACATGCCCCTGTTGTAGGCTCAATCCCTAGTGGGGGGCGAGCAGGAGGCAGCTGATGGATGTTTCTCTCTTATTGATGTTTCTCTCTATCCCTCTCCTTTCTTCTCTAAATCAATAAAAAATACTAAAAGTGGCTAACATAATATATCTGTAGGCTCTTCTCACTCTTTTGGTAACCCATATGTAGAAGCTTGGCCACTGTGGAATCTATCAGTAATTTGAAAACTGCAGCTTAGACATAGCTTTTGGGTTCAGCTAATGACACAGTATCAAAAACATGTACTTCCTGTTTAAGAAGAACCTGTTGGCAGGGGATGTCTAATTGGAAAAGAACGCTCAAGTCTTGATTGAACCGATTTTTAGTCATCGACTGTCAAGGTAGAAATGCTTTCCAATAAAGGACAAGATCCCGTAGGTGGATCTGTGCTTGTGTCTACTTGTTTGGGCACATCGAAGGCATGTCCCGTGTGTGCTCAGCTATCCTACTGCCCCACATTGATACAGCTGTTACTAGAAATTATAACCTTTTTTTGTGTGTGACAAAAACCCACTTTACATAAAGAATAATGAAAAGAGTTCTTGCCTGGGTGGCTGGAACTCAGTTCCCCCTCCCTTTGGGTCACTAACTGGCCACATACTGCAGGCAGATTGCTTAATCCTACAGGCAGGCTCTACACTGAAAATTTATTTCAGCATTCTACTAGGAGTCTATAGGAGTCACTCCTGCTCTGGGGAAAATAAATCTTGTAGATGTTCAATAAAACCCAGCCTAGACAGGCAGCACAGCATGGTGGGAAGAGCCTTAGAGGAGGACTCATCCACCACCACCGGGTTAGCTGCATAATAATGTAAATTCTTCGTCTGCAGTTGAGGAAACGGGTGCAGGGAGAGTGAAAATGTTGGCCAGCCCTGAATTCTCAGAGCTTTTGTCAATGAGAGGCCGGATGCAGTCTTCAAGGTACAAGTCCTGGCTCTGCAATGTGAGGCTATAACTGAACAACTGCTTTGAGGAATTGTTAATTAAAAAAAAAAACACTAAGCTCAATTTATTTGAAAAAAAAAATCCTCATTTCCTTCAGGTTCTGCTGTAACGCACCCAAATCTATGGGTCTCTCGGACCTAGAGAAGGGAATTTTACTCAAGTGAAATCCCAGTAGGTGTTTTATGACTCTACTTCCTGTTTGCCTAAGGGGAACAAGTATATCTCTCTGCGTAGTTCCCATCTGCCCTAATAATCAGAAACACTCACAGGACACTATTTACCTAAAGATCTAAATTTCAGGCAGAAGACTAACCAAAGTGGCCATGCTACACCTAACAGATGAATACTTATAACTTCAGAGTGAGAAGGGAGGAAATACAAGGAACTGTAAACAATAAACACGGCGGTGCTGCGTGGGGAAAACGCCTTTCCCCGTCCTACAGTGTAACTGTTTAGTTCCCTGGCAGAGATTTGATTGTAATTGTTCTCTTCACACCAGTGACGGCAAACTTAGGCACCGGGGTTGATCCAGCTACACATTCACACTGGACCTTAGCAGGCTGTCTTGCTTGCATATTTCTAAAGAATACAGCCCCTTTTATTTATCTTTCATTTCTTCAGCTTCTCCTGTGTTTCAAAGAACCAGAGGCTGGTTGACAAGAAGCACCTTCCCACTCTATCCTGTCATGTACCGTCCCGTGTCGGTTGCACTCACAACTGCAGTCAGTTGAGTATGACTCACTTGAGAAAATCTGGCAAGTTCAGCACACTTCTTCATGGCCACAACTGACGTCCCAACCTCCCTCACATTTCCAAGCCCAGCTCCACTTGTGAGCCACACTCCTGCTGGATAACAATATTTACTCTGCATCCTGGACTCTGTGTCAACCGCCCTCTAAGAGCCACTCGGGCTGCTGCTTCCCTTTTTCCCCAAAAGACAAAAACTTGGCTTTTCAGTGGCTGTGCCAGGCTCCCTGAAATCCTAAGTAAACCGTGTGAGCTCTATTAGCCTTGCCGGAGCTTTTCAGTGTTTTGAAGGATTTGATTTTCCTCAAATAGAATTAGCAACCAACTTGCTTTGATAAAGTTTTTTTTAAAAAAGATGCTTCATTCGTTTTTCTTTGGAACTGAAGATAGGTCCGGCTGCTTTAAATGTCAGAGAAACATCAAAACAAAACAAGAAAGTTGCAAACAGATGCCAAAGAAGACTGTAGTTGTGGATAAGTTTCCATTTGAATTCTTCCGGTAATTGCAAAGCTGTGGGTGGGTGGGAAGTGTGCATGTCATTGTTTGCGTCTCATTAATTTACGATTAAACTGACCCTGAAATTCGATTTTCAGGGTGAAATTACTTAAAATCTACTACACGTTAATGACTTTCTATAGAGTGGACAGGATTCATTACCTAAAATGTGGTTAATCTGCAAACCACGAATAGAGCGCCTGTAATTTCTTGCCTCTGGCTTCTCCCGTAGTTTCAAAAAGGTTTTGTAATAAACCGTCCTGCACCACAGGGCCACGTCGGCCCCTTCAGCTGGAAGGAAGCAATTCACCTGTGACTGTGCAGTAGTTGGTAGCTTCACAGGCTCACTCCAACCACAACACAATGAAAAAGCAGTGCAGGCTGCTAGCCTCCCAGCTCCAGCGCCTCTGTTCCTGCGAGTGGAAGTACGGAGCGCTCCCTTTGTCATGTACGGTTCTGCAATACATCAGGCAGAGGCCCAGGAAGGGGGCCCCAGCCGGAGCTGCGTTGCCTCTTCCCAAATCTCCCTTTCTTCTGAGTTGCCACTGCACACACTGAAATATATTTATGTGGCTCAAGTGAGACTTAACTCCCTAAATTATATCGGGTCCTGGAATGGTTTAAAGGCCTCTTTGTCCAATTATATTTACTTCTGTTTATACAAACTGGCAAGAAGCTACTACTGTGCGCTGGCTCTCAGCCCCCTCCAAGCTCCTTCGTCTACAGCCACTTTTATGAGAGAGATACTATTTTACATCAAAATCCCTGGGCAGTTTTAGGAAGGGGAAGAAAGGAAGAATATATTACATTTATTTGCTCTTGCTCCCAATGAGCGTAAGAAAGAGAAGTCCTCTCCTCTTGAGTTTGTAGTTTAGAATTTCCAGGCATGCAGTGTTTTGAGAGATGAAAAAACTGAGTAGTTGCTTTTAAGGGAAACTCTAGGTAAAGTATTATGTACATCTGCCCATGGGTTTCTGGTGCATTCATTGTAACGACACGCAAAGTAGAGGAGAGCTAGGTACATCTTCAACATTTCTGCTTATAACGTTTTAAAAGTTAACCCAGAGGCTATTTTAAGAAAGGTGATGCCCTAAAAACGAAGTGTATGGAAACCGAAGCACACACTGGCAGGAAGGCCAAAATTAGAAGCGTCTGTAAGGGCAGGGCTGGGGGTCACCAGCTGCAGAGTGGGGGCCCACAGTACCTAAGCACCCTTTCCCTAGAATGGTCCTGCACCCCTCTCAGTTGCTGAGATTCCAATCCAGCACCCATGGCCCTCAGCCTGCCGGGAATAGGTTCCCTGAAGAACCTGCTTTCCTAACCCCCAGAGAATGCCGGACCTGCGTGCCCGCCGCCGCCCCCCTGTAGCACCTGTCCCCACAGTGCACCCAGATGTCCTCCCAGGCACTGCGGGTAGAGCAGGGAGTTCTCTAGATTGTTGTAAGCAAGTCACTTCTCAGGTAACCTGAGCGAGTTGGGTTCCAGCCCTAAAGTTCTGCAGAGTCTCCCCCCAAACCCTACATAAATCAACACCCCCTAAACCCCCACTGCTCTAAGGCACGGTGTACGCCAGAGACCAGCACCCTGATGTTTCGGATCCTGCTGTTCTCAGTCACCCTACAGCGGTTTCCCCTCCACATCTGACTGAGGCGGGGTTCCGGGAAGGCTCAAGGCCAATGTCAGGCAGCCGCGGGTAGGGGCTGTCCCAGGGGAGAGAGGAAGCCAGGCGGACGCACCTGCTGCACGCATCTCCTTAGGGATGCGGCCTGAAGGGAGGTCGGGCTGCTCTGAGCTGAGGGTGGAATCCCAGCCCGATCTGGCAGGGATACCTGGAGGAGACCAGCCTGCTGCCCCGGAATGAGAGGGGAAGGAGGGGGGCGGGAGGGGCGAGAGGGAGGGAGGTGGACAGAGAGACGGCCGGAGCGGGGCCCCAGGCCGGCCACTCACCACGAGCGGGATGGAGCAGATGAGCACCACCAGGGAGGTGGCGATGAGTAAGATGACCATCTGGATCTCGGCGCCCGCGATGCGGCGG